GAGGAGGAGTATCTGCAGGTGAACCCATCAGGAAGCAGAGCCCCTTCCCCTTCCACACACTCGGGGGGTCAGAGAAAGACCCAGACGAGACCCGGGTGCTCTCCGGAGCCCACACGGCGGCTGGGAAAACAGGCTGACCACAAAAGGTCAGGACAGCAAGGGTCACAGTCTAGAGAGGGGCTTCCAGACCCCTCAGCCGGGGCTCCCTCCACCAAGATGAAGGGGCTGCTCCGCCTGCTCTGGACACTCGGGTGGGCACTGTGGCTGGTGGCTGGGCCTCTCCCCTGAGATGGAGGCCTGGCCCCGAGGCCAGAAGCTTCTGGAAGAGGCTCTGCAGTCCTGGCTGAAGGGGCCTCTCCTGCCAGGGCGAGCACACGTCCTCGGAGAGGAGCCCGAGGACACCCCAGAGGCTGGTTTCTGTTACGGAGGCTCGGACAAACAGCAGGTGCAGCAGGGGCGCCGTGGGGGGGCCACCTCGCTCGAGATGAGCTGCCAAACAGGAAGCCATGGGGGGGATGGGGAGACAGAGCCACCTCCAAGACGAAACGTGACCGCGGGGCGTGTGGCTTCCTTCCTCCCAGCCCCCAAGGCCTCCGGCTCTGACTCATTCTCTACTCCCAGCCCCAGGCGCTCACTCCAGGCCCCACACCTGCTCCTCGCAGGTACCTCCAGGTACTTCCTCACTACACCCCTGTCCAGAGCGCCCCCAGATACACCGTGACTATCACGTGCACCCCACCCCCACCTGCAGACCCTCCCCTCACTTTACTTGTCAGTCTGTAATGAAGTAACGCTAGACTCCCCAAGAAGTTGCTGAATAAGAGAGGAGGCCCTGCCCCTTCCCCAGCGGACCGTGATAACAACTTCTATAAAGAACATCACCCAAGCCAGGAAATGGACCTGGGCACACAGCTAGGAGCCAGGCTCCAGGCGGTGGCCAGATGCCAAGACTTTACACCACACACCCTGTGGCCATGGCTCTCCCACGACTCCCATGTGCGCAGCTCGCTACCCTGCCTCGTGCTCAGGTGGCAGATAGGACCCCTCAGTGGGCTTCCTGGCTAATCGTCCTCACCGCCACCAGGGACCCTGTCTTTTGTGTCCAAGGTACCCCAACCTGGGGCCCAGCTAGCCACACACTCAACAGACACGCGATGGACAGACGCCTCGGAGCAGTGCGTCACTCTCCCGGCCCCACAAGGTCCTTGATCTCGGGAAAACCAACACTTTCCTGTCTCCACCTCACCGGGCCCTCCTCTCGCCTGGGGACTAAGGTACTTGGGTCAGACCCTGTCACATGTGCCACCTCTAGGTGGTAGGGGGCAAGGCCAGCATGTCTCAGCTGGGCACCAGGCCTCTAAGGACCCAGGGGTCCCCGAAACTGTACAGCAGAGGGACGTGCACAGGCCTGAGAGGGGCTCCGCAGTCGTGGTCCGGCTCAGGGATCTGTGCGCTGACTCGTGGCGGGGAGGTGCTGAACCTTGTGAAAAGGATGGGGCCCGTGACAGCTCCGTGCACACCCACCTGAGCCCAGGCAAGTCTCCCCATCACCTGAGCCTGTCACTGAGCGCAGGCTGCCCCAGGAAGCCCCGACAAACCTGACAAGTCTCCTGGCCTTCCCAACAGGCCCTGACGGACAGGCTGCACAGCTGGGCCTCAGGTCAGCCCGCACAAGTGGCACCGTCACTGTCCCCACTCCACAGCAGCCACGAGCCTGCAGAGACGGGCGGGCCCAGGGCCCTCGCTCCAGCACACAGTGGGTTGGCGTCTCAGACTCCCAGGGCCTGGCCCATGCCTGGCACAGCAGTGAGGCACTTGCTGCTGTGAGTGAAGAGGCAGGGAGCCCACGGCCAAGCCCCTTCAGAGGAGGGCCTGCCCAGAGATAGCTGCCCTTTCAAAAATAGCCCAGGAGAGGCTCCAAGTACAGCCAGGCCTGGGTCAGGCCTTAGCTCCTGGCACGCCTCAGGGAGGAGCACACAGACGTCCCCGACCCCGGGAGGCCGGCCAGGCCAGGGCTCCATGGGGACATGCGCCCCTCACACGCCTGCCCCACCCCCCACCTGCGGGCTGTTGAATGTCCCACTCCCCAGCAAAGGAAGCTCAGCTGGGCGGTCTATGGTCAGCGCTTCTCTTCCCAAGGTGGCCACGCAGGACTGTGGGGCTGGCACAAGCCACCTGCCTCCCTCAAGGAGGGCACTTCAACCCCCAGGTTGTGACCTCCACGTCCACGCACATGAAGGAAATCCAAGACTCAGAGAGCCAGTTTAACTTAAAACACAAAATCATGGGGTATGGGAATCCCCACACCTGACAGGTGGAGACGTCACCGGAGACTCTGTCTAAACTGATTTCATGACCCCGGCAAGGGCTCCGCAGCTGTCTTGCCCAGGAGTGCGGTGGACCCTTCACAACCAGCAAAGGCACATGACGGGCCTGGGAGCTAGGGAAGCTCACCCTGGCGGGAGAGGGGTTAACTGGTATCCAAACTCAGTCGCCAGGACTGCCGGCTCCCACCCTGTCCTCAGCCAACTGCAGGCCTGGCCTCGCTGCCAGCCTGGAGCTGACAAAACTGACCGCTGAGTCAGGCCAGGCTGTGCTCCTGGGGCCTGATTGTTTGCAAAGACAAAAGGGACGCTGACCGCCCGACTCCCCACCCAGCGGGCGGGAGCTGGAGCAGACCGCTGACCTGGGCAGCCCAGCTGCTTCTCTGCTGCAACATGCCTGGGGGGCCAGCAAGGCCTGGGCAGGGGCTAGGGGGGCACAATTCTCCACCCGCTGGAGATGAAGAGTGGACAGTCCCTCTGGGCCCATGGTCACTAATAGGCCCTGAGGCCTCTTCCTGGTCACAGGTGTTAAGTGGCCTGAAGTCAGCCGCACAGGGAGGGGCAGCCTGTGACCCCCTACTACCGTGGGACGGGCAGAGCGGGAGAGGACTTGGGACAGCCGGGCGTTATCCCTGGCCTCCCCGCCAAGAGATGAGCAGCTGAGAGCGTGAAATGAGAACCAGCAGCCGTGCTTCAATCTCTCCCCGGACACTTAGGACCTCGTCTCCTCATCTATAAAGTGAGGGCAGCACTAGCCCCACCCTCAGGTGACCGTTGAGAGGTGGGGGGCACATGGTCATCCTGTCATTCCGATTTCCTGATGTGGAAACCAAAGGGGACATGACCTCTGCTGAGAGGGACCCAGCTGGTAAGACACCAAACAGGATCTTGGGACCTGCTCGCATAATGGTTCCGCGGCTGAGTCCCACTGGCATGAAACTCACACTGTGTACATGTGCATGTGTGCCCAGGATCCCAAGAGGAGAATGGAGAAGAGGGGAGTGCGGCATGGCCACCTCCCTGGGGTGGGGGGGTAATTTCTCGCTTTCACTTTCTTTCTCTCTGTCCTTCTGGCAAGCACATGTTCCCTACAGCAAAAAAATCTCTTAGGGAAAAAAAAAAAGGACACTGAGCAAGATCTGAACCAAGTCGCAGCCTCAGAGACCAGGCTCTGACAGTCACTAGAGCCCCGAGGCACCTGCTATGGCGGAAGCGAAGAGGATGCCCAGGTAAGCCAGGCTGCACATGCACCAGGCTTCTGTCCAGACAGACCCTGGGCAGCGGCACCTGCTGTAGCGTGTCCCTGGGGACAGAGACTGGCTGGCCACACCCACTCACATGGCCAGAACCCCAGAGGAAGAACCTGAGCTGAAGGCACAAAAGCTGGGGCCTCCTCAGGCCCCTTCTAAAGCAGTTCCGGATGTTTACGAGGCAGTGCCCAGGGTGAGGGGACCGCACAGCGCTCCCTGCTTCCTCCTAGGACAAAGATGCCCAGACAGGGGTCCTGTCACCTGGCCTGCACAGGTCGCAAGGGCGAGGCATGAGCAGCACCCCGCCGCCGCTGGCCCTTCCCACTGCGGAGCAAGTACACATATGCCAACCCACGTGGAAGCCACGGTGTCCTTCGCAGGACAGGCACAGCCAGGGCAGGCGTGCAGCAACCTCTCCTGGGTCACCCAGTCAACACACTGCCAGCCCAGCCCAGCTCAGCTCCCCAGGACCCTCCATCCCCCCTCCCCAAAGGCAGGCTGCTCTCCAACCGTGCACCTCTCCACGACACACGCACACCTGAACACGCACAGTTCAAGTCTCAGACTTGGCAGCTTGAGGGCATACGTGTGTGCCCCAAATCCTGAGAGAGAAAAGGACTGCAGGGTGACTGACCCCAGGGAACGCCTTCTCATTTTCTCTCTGGCAAGCACGCACGCCCTATAGCAAACTAAAAAACAAATAAAAGCAGTGCCCATTTTAGACCTGCCCTCCTCACAACCCCAACCCATAGCAGGCTCCTTGCAGTTGGACAAACAGCCCCCATCAATCAGAGACCAGGAGGGCAGACCGCAAGGCACGCTCCTTTGTGTCCCTGGAGTGGGTGTGTCCTTCCCCAAGCACCTGCCTGGCCTTACTCCATGTTTAAAAAGCAGGCAGGGAGGGGTTGAGGATGTGAGACAGGACACACAGCTCGGAGGCCGGAGCCCCGGACCCAGGACTCCTGACCCCGCTCACACTCTACCTGCCAGTGTTCGCACACACGGGACTCCGGCTGGCCATGAGCTACTGCCACCCTCTGCCCAGCACTGGAGCAGGTCGGGGCACCCAGGAAGAGCCCAGCCTGCCGGCTCCTGAGCATCGGCAAGCGCTTGGCGGTGCTCCCTCGGCAGCCCCTGAGCCCTCCTGCAGCACACAGTCAGTGCCGTCCGCACGGCGGATCTACAGGGCACACGAGTGCCAACCACGTGCCGGGGCGTCAGGGTTTGAACCCCACAAGCAGGCTGTAAGGCGGGACGTGGGGTGCACACACCCCACCCACTCTTCATTCCCTCAGCTTGTCTCTCCATATCCGCCCCAAAACAAACACATTCTTGAAAACCCTCATTTCCCTCAGCTTTCAGACCCCCCCAAGGCCCACAGGCTGCTCCGCCTTGTCCCAGGACCCCCTCAGCCTCATGCACTCACCCGTAAGTCCGCTGGATCAGGGTGGGGTGGAGCTGCTGCACGCCCAAGGTGAAGCCTAAAGAGAGGACAATCAGGGGCTCTGTGCCCCAGGCCACACGGGGAGGCAGGGCCACACCTCAGCTTCCTCCCCCTGCCAGGCCACTCCCTGGTGAGAACCCCGAGGCCTGACCTCCACCCTGGGGGCCGACTTCCTCCCTCCTACTAACACAGTGACTATGGGATGACCATAGGCCATGCATGCTGGAAACAGGTATGCTTCCAGGCAGGGGGATGACTGCCCTGTGAGGCCTGTGGCACCTGAGAGCTGACTCCACTGTCATCTGGGGCAGATACTGCTGAGTATGGAAACAGAGCCGGGGAGGAGCCTATCTCTTACCCGTCTGCAGGCTGCGAGGCTTGGCGCCCAGATAGGCCAGGTTCACGTTGGCCTTGCGGCCGTCGATGATGGGGTTGGGGTCTTTGCAAGCCCTCTCAGCAGCCGCCCGGTCCGCCATGGTCACCTGGAGGAACACAGACACACGGGGCTTCTGGGAGGGACCTCGGAAGACAGAGGGCTCTGCCCTGGCCCAGCGGGCTCTGCTCTGGCACTGTGTCCCTCTCCTCCCCCACCGAGGGTGCCAGTTACCCAGGCCTTTGGGCCTGCTTCCAGCCAGGCCCTCCCACAAAGCTGTCCCCTGGGTTCTAGCTCCTCCCCTCAAAGTTCAAGTGCTGGGAAATGTTGCCTTCAAGGACAGAAAACAATCCCCTGGAAGATGGGACAGGGCAAAAATGAACCCCGAAGGGATGCAGGGGTGCCAGCCTCGTCTGCCCATCAGCCAGGACCCCGAATTTCCCCTTTGGGAATTTGGAGACGGCGCCTTTGGAAATAAAGTAGGAAACGAGTCTTCGAGTCGTTTAGGGTGAAGTTGCTGTTTATTTTGGGGG